CCACACAGTCTTCGGCAATGACTGTCAGGATCCCCATGGAGGTGTGGGACATGTCTGGAGGGTCATTGCAGTCCTAACAACAATAGCAGCATTAAAACCGCAAATGCATGTCAATTGTCATTTTGCATTTCTATAGTAGAACACACAATGAATATATTTGTGCCTCACAGCAAAACAAGGCTCCACAAAATCAATTAGGCATAGGTGATCAGTGCATCAAAAATGAAAGTATAGCAGCACTAATTCAGGCTGAGTGGAAGAGAAGTAACTAATACCAAAAGATGAACAGAAGGAATGCATTAGATAGATTGGGCATCCTGTTGTGTGGAATTAAATAAATTTGACAAAGTCTACTTACAAAGCATGTCTTGAAGAAGTCTGTGTTCTCATCTCCAAGGATGACAGGAAGGCCACGGAGGACTGAGATTCGCTTCCCAGAAACATCTGTACTCTATGAAAATAATTTCAAACACAAAATTCCCAAGTATTCAAGGTTAATCAATTGACAGCTCTGCATACACAATGTGGTGGGACTACTTTGGTCACCACATACATTTGTTTTAAACTTTGCTTGAGAAACCTACCCCTGGTGTGACTTGTTGCAGATATTCCTGAAGTTTCTGGCCGACACTTCCCCCCTTGGACTTGAAAATCTCAAGGAAGCGAGGAGTGCATTTGTGAAGTTCTTTGAAGAATTCTGCTTTCAGGTTTTTGCTTGATAAGCGACAGAACTCTGCCAAAATCTAAAGGAAAGAGTAGGACAATTAAGATTTAGTCATATTGGACCTACATTAAAAAACAGCAACAAAATACTACGTCACACTGGGCAGAAAACTAGTGTTGCAATGGCTTCCATATTGAACATAAGTTACTGCAATTGCTGTATAAAAATTAGATAATGCATGCAAGGTGACATATGGTTCTTTACAAAGAATAGTAGGTAACTCTCCTGAGTACTAGTTTGAGCCAATCACATACAGCAGCAGTGGTAGAAACCTGTATTCAATCCTTGGAGGCCAGTGTGATTTGGTGATTTATTAGTTTGATTAGACACACTGGGATTGGGATTTGCAATGATCAATTCATAAAATCATATTTATAGGACTACTTTTTCAGTAGTATGACAGTAAAGCTAATTTGGTGACATAAAAGATACATGACAAATAATGAAAATACATTACAACTAAAAACTTGAACGTGAAAAATATAGATTTACCTGACCCTCCGTAAAGAGTGCTGGCCACCTTTCAACTGTCTTTCACTGGAGGCTCCAAGGTCACCAACTCTTTTCTTCTCAAGGCAAACGTTGAGTCCATATTCTTGGATATCAGAGCAGCAGTTGGACGACGTTTCTTCATCTCCTCTACAAGTTCCAGTCGTTTGAACTTCGGTAAATATGGATATATTTGGTAATGAATAAGGAGCAAAGCCAATATCCCTATTCAGTCTGGTATCACCATACATTGTATTGTTTGTACTGTCACTGTTTGTCTAACATTTGAGTAAACAGTCTTTTTCAGAGCTAGAGATGCAGTGATGCTTGTGAAAACTAATGTAACAGAAAATATAATACTTTGGATTTAATATTTTCCAATTGTTTATTTCAAACAGAATCATATTTGCGGTGATACAAATGTTTTTTCATATGAACTATAACCACCATGTATTTTTCTCATTATTATTATACATTCAAATTTCATATTCTTTGTATATGCTAAGTACTTAATATACAGTCACAATAGCACTGCACTTAAGTTACTTTATACTTCTACTACACTACATCTTCATTGTGCTTTTTACTTTACTACATTTGTTTGATAACTTTAGTTACTTTGCAGATTCAGAGTATTAATACAAATAATAATCGACTGATACATATAATGTATTATTGATAAAGCTACCCAGCAGTATATAAAGTAGTTGAAATTAGCACCACCTTTACCAGCTGTAACATTACATATTACTGCATCACACATTGACTTTTGTTAAAAATCTTGGTGTGATTTTTGACAGTTCCTTCAAATGTATTAAACAAAGTTGTTCAGCCTTTTCAAGTTCAGCCTTTACTTTGGCTAAAAGTCTTATCTCTTGCTCAGAGAGAGATAGAGAGTTATTAATGGTTTTATTACCTCTTGGTCAGATATCTGTAATTCCTTGTATGTGGGTGTGGAACATACCCACATCTCTGCAGTTTGTACAAAGTCAGTTTTAGGGTTGATTCATTTTTATATTTTTCTGAACATCTACTCGGAATTGCTGCTCCTCTACATACTAACACACTGTTGCCTCAGAGGCAGGACTCTCTGGCTGCTCCTAAATCCTGGATCGAGACCACAGTCGACCAGGGTCTCAGCTGTCAGGGCCTCTCAGCTCTGGAGCTCCCTGCTTGAAGATCTGAGGTTTGCTGAGTATTTTAAATCATTCCTCAATACCTCTTAAATACACCTTTTATTTACATTAACTGCATGTTTTATTGGTTTCCTGCTCTATAGTGTCTTATCCATTTTGTTTGTTGATTTCACTCTATTTTTGAATAGTTTTTTTGTCGTACTTTTACTTTCATGAACTTTTTAAAATATATAATTATCTTTTAATCATGATTATTATGTAAAGCTCCATATACCTTTGCTTTGAATGATTTTTTTTTTCAAAGATTTTTTTGGGGTCTTTTTTTGCTGTTTGACCGTACAGCTGAAACACTTTATCAGGCCTAAAATGTTCGATGAAAAGTAAACAACACTGTGTCCTTTATCTACAAATCCTGATTGACTTAAAATTATTTTTTTCAAGATCATTGCTGTCAATATTATTTATTCGTATACCATGTGTCTTTGACTATAATGGAGGAAAGAGCTTGAAAGTTCATTTAAAACTCAAGTTTATTTTCATTGTTCAGTGTTAAATATTACATTATATACTGAATAATTTGACCCGGCCCAAGCTCTCTAAGAAAACGAGGAAAAACTCCCCAAAATCCTGATGGCAGGAAAATAAGAAGAAACCTCGGGAAAGGCAATTCAGAGAGAGATCCCCTCTCCTCGGATGGCTGGGTGTGCTACAAGATCTGCAAAAGCAGGAGTTCCTCACGTTCTCCTTCCTGTCAAAGATTGAGCAGCATTAGTATTTGAATGACACTGATGCATGACATTAGATAATATTAATATAATAATTCCAATTACTAACAAGATGTTCTTTTGTAGCATAACCTTGTCCTGCAGAATGACGAAGGACTTCCTCACGTTCTCCTTCCTGTCAAAGAGGCAGAGCAGAGTTGGAATTTGTATGACTAGTTGTTGGAATGCTGTTAAATGCTTTAAACTTTTGACATGATTAAGCTTTTTGCAAATTGTTTTTGAATGGGATTTCAATGGAGAAAGTTTTCAAATCCTCTTAAACTTCTTCAACTTTCAAATCCTTCTACTTACTCATACTTTCAGCTACAGACACCATTTCAACTTTAAAGTCTGTCTGACTCACTCAGTACATAAAACTGTCTGTCTGTCTGTCTG